CATATTACAGGAGAGCCATCTTGTGTTCACATGTTCATATTGCAAAAGTTTGAAAAAACAGAATAGTTTTTCCTTATAAATAACTTCTAGTTTCTGAAATTATTTACCAATAAGAAATGGCCTGTTTCCCCCCAAATTCAAAATTGTATTTTCATAGTGGTTTTGTTTAAGATGCTGTGATGGGGTATATACATCCTGCACTAGCATGGAAGGGGATAAGGAGCTGCTTTGGGCTGGAGTGGCCCTGCACTGTCACACCTGCAAATGGTGCTAGGACTGGAGGAGGAGTTAAAAATAAGTAATTCTACTCTGATGGGGAACCCTGGGATGAGAACAGACTGTTGAGCTTTTCCAGTGCATGAGAGGGGACTGACAGCTCGCAGAGCCCCTGCCCTCAGAGAAGGAAGGTGCAAAAATCCTGAGTTGAAGGAGCAAAGAACTGGAGCCCAGTGAACTCTAAAGTGGACATTGATACTCCAAGGGCCCCTCTGAAGTAAGGGAGGTCCGTATGCTGGAGGGAGCTGCTTTACTTTTCTCTTGTTTAACTCCTTTTGCTGGCTATGGGCTGTTTGGTGGCATCACTCGGGACATAGAGAAGGGATGAGGCAGTCTCAAGGCCCCAGTCGGACTGTGAGTGCTGACCCACTAAAAAGATGCCCTGCAGCACCTGTTGGGGTGGGGATGAAGTAATTGACTCGTGTGTGTGCACTCCCCATGTAGCCGAAAGGGGCTGCCCTCCACAGAAAGATTTGTGACAGATGGAAGACTGGAACAAAGTACAGAGCTGCATACTCTTTTAATTTCTCCAACTTTTGTCCAGATTATAAATCACATGATAATATCTGATATCCGAAAGGGGAAAAGAGAGATTGGACAATAAAAAAACAAAACAAAAAAAACCCTATGTCTATTTAGGAGCTATGTCTAAATAAATCCTCCTTCACCTTCTACTTAATCTCCAAATTTAAATTCAATTCATAAGAAGAAAAGCAAGAATATCAGAAACACTATCTCCATTTAAAATTTAGGTAAAATAAATTTGATGAAATTTGAAGATGCACTTAGCCTTCATCTATTGGTATTTCCAATAAAATGTGAGACTTAGAACACACAAAAACTATATAAATTATGAAGGTGCTGGTTCCTCTCGTCCTGTAATCTTCAGAATCAAGAATCCCACCACTGTCATTGTATATTGCATTAAAAAAACTATATTAAATTAATGTTAAGGTTGCAAAGTCAAAAACTCAAATGTTAGGAAATGAAAGAATTAGAATAATAGCCTCATAGAAGTGTAGGACTGAAAGAGACCTCAATAGGTAATCTAGTCTAGTCCCCTGCACTCAAGGCAGGTCTAAATAATAACTAGACCATTCCTGACAGGTGTTTGTCTAACCTGCACTTAAAAATCTCCAGTGATGGAGATTCCCCAGCCTCCCTAGGCAATTTGTTCCAGTGCTTAACTACCCTGACAGTTAGGAAGTTTTTCCTAATGTCCAACCTAACCCTCTCTTGCTGCAATTTAAGCTCATTGTTTCTTATCCTATACTCAGAGGTTAACAACAACAATTTTTCACCCTCCTCCTTGTAATACCTTTTATGTACTTGAAAACTGTTATGACATCTGTCCATCCCATCCCCCCAGCCAGTATTCTCTTCTCCAGACTAAACAAACTCAATTTTTCCACTCTTTCCTCATAGGTCATATTTTCTAGACCTTTAATCATTTTTGTTGCTCTTCTCTGGACTTTCTCCAATTTGTCCACATCTTTCCTGAAATGTGGTGCCCAGAACTGGACACAATATTCTAGTTGAGACATTAACAGCGCAGAGTAGAGTAGAACCTGTGCAACCTTAACTTGACTTCCTTGTGCATATGCATTATGATACAATCTTTAATTACATCTTCACACACTATTTCTTCCATAGGACCTCTGCCTCATTCAGTGGTCTGGAAATTAATCAAGGATGTGTAGTAAAGAAGTCTGTTGTCTGCCTTGTTTGCTGCAGAATTGGATGATGTGTCGTGAATGAGGCTGGGGACTGCAGGAAGAGGAAGGATAATCTTGTTTACACAGTTGAATGCCATCCTGGAGAATTTGATTCTATCCCTGCCTCTGCCACAGAATTTATATGTCACTAAGAATGTCACTTAATACAAAGTTTTCACAGATGGCCACAACTGTTTCTCATTTTATGTGTGCCCAACGTGAGACACCTGGGGTCTGCTTTGCAGAATTGCCAAATGCTCACAACTACAAATGAAGTCTGTAAATTGAAGCCTACAATTGAACGATGCCCTAAACATATAAAGTGCTATAAAATATTCAGGTCTCTGAAAAATTAGGACAAAGATCTCAATAATTGGGCATCCAACATTTCTGGACACTTTTGACATTAATATCTTTGTGCCTCAGTTCCCCATCTGCAAAATGGGAATAATAACATCTTACCTCACAGGGGAATTGTGAATATAAATTAAGTAATATTTGTGAAACACTCAAATGCTACAGTAATGAGTGCCATAGAACAGCCCCTGAAAAAGTTAATAATTCTATATTTATAACAAGGCTTGAATGATGTGCAATAATGCAGAAACTGAATGATGAGAAAATGAAATATTGAATAGCTGTTCCTTCATTGAGCACCATTAATCCTGGGCACTGATTGAAGGGGCTGCTTTAAAAAAAATGTGAAAACGTAATTAAAGACTGTATCATAATGCATATGCACAAGGGAGCCAAATTAAGATTTTAAGGGCTACCTTAATTTTGTCATTGCCTTGCTGTTGGGTGCTTAATTTCACAGCCTTAACACTCTTTTAATGCAGTTTTTGTATGTAATTTCCTAGGTTTAAAAAACCCCCCGAAAAAAACAGAAATTCTATCATGTTAACATCATGTTTACACCCACTTGGTCCATCAGCAGGCTTGGAACCTTTAGATCTAAATAAATCTCTGCTGCTTCATCTAAAAGAGTAACTGGTAGAAGTAGGTTGTCATCGTTTATATGGGCCAGGCGCTAGTTAGATGAGGCACACGTTTGCCAGTGGGTTTCACAGTTTTATTGACAGCAGAGGAATGCTGAGATTTAAGAATCCTTGTTTTGTTCCAGAGTTTGAGAGCAGTATACTTTAGGAGTTATAGGCTCTTCGCCCTTGGTCTTCCTTATGTTTTTGTCCCGGTCTTTGTCCTCCACCCCCACCCCACTTTGGCTTCTCATCTAAGTCTCATTCCACTCCCACCAGCCCCCTTGATTCTGTGTCCCATTCCCCTGGTTTAGGCTCCCATTCTTCTCCCAACTGCTGCCTCTTGGCTCGCAGTTTCAGTACCTCCCTGGTTCCTCATCCCACTTCCCCCTCTAACTACCCCTGCCTGAGTCTCCACCATGGCACTTTTGCCCCGGTTTACCTCCTCCTCTGCATTCCAGTCCTCCTTCTCCTTTCTGCCTAGGCTCCAGCAGTGAGAACACGGGACAGAGAGCTTCCTGCTTTCAGGTCCTGTTTGCTTGATATAAAGATATACTGGAATTGGTAAAGGTACAGAAAAGGGCACAAAAATGATTAGGGGCATGGAATAGCTTTCGTATCAGGAGAGATTAATAAGACTGGGACTTTTCAGCTTGGAAAAAAGACAACTAAGGGGATATGATAGAGGTCTATAAAATTATGACTGGTGTGGAGACAGTAAATAAGGAAGTGTTATTTACTCCTTCTCATAACACAAGACCTAGGGATCACCAAATAAAATTAATAGGCAGCAGGTTTAAAGCAAACAAAAGGAAGTAGTTTCTTTCTGTGTACTATTTGTATGTAAAGATTTTTTTTTTAAAGACTCCACTGTTTTCAAATGACCTTGTAGTCTCAGTCTCTGGTCTCCGGTTTGATAACCTTGATTTGTTTCCACTATCAACTTTTAGCAACAAAAATTTCTACATGTATGAAACCAAAAGCACAGAGCACAGTCAACCTGTGGAACTCTTTGTCAGAGGATGTTGTGAAGGCCAAGACTATAACAGGTTTTAAAAAAGAACTAGATAAATTAATGGAGGATAGGTCCCTCAATGGCTATTAGCCAGGATGGGCAGGGATGGTGTCCCTAGTCTCTGTTTGCCAGAAGCTGGGAATGGCTTACAGGGGATGGCTCACTTGATGATTACCTGTTCTGTTCATTCCCTCTGAAACACCTCTCATTGGCCACTGTCAGAAGACAGGATACTGAGCTAGATGGACCATTGGTCTGACCCAGTATGGCCGTTCTTATATTGCAAGGAAATTCCTGTTCATCCCTGTTTGGATTATGCCCCATGCAAACAGAATCTTCAGAGAATTTAGCTGCCAAACTCTAAAAGTCTCTACTGAACATGTGCAAATTAAGATTTTCAGAGGATCAAAACCTGGCCAAATTCAGGGAGATTTTCACAGGAATGCCAAAAGGCACATCCCTGACATCAGCATAATCCCCACTCCCTGGCCAAATGACAAGTCTCTGTTCTGAAGTAGGGAGGTGCTAGAGCTTCTCAACAAAAGAGTTGTAAGATTTTTTTTAACATGGCAGAAAACAATGTATTATTCCCTAATTTTGTTCTGAGAAATGGCTGAACTATTTTTGCTGAAGGTTTCAATAAAAAAAAAAAATCACAGTGAGGCCAACACCTAGCTCTGTTCAAACACTTAACATTTGGCAAAGCTTTAAGTGACTGAAAACAGGTTTGTTCTTATAATGGACCGTGTCGGGAAACCTGAACTATAAATGTCATTGCCTGTATTACCTATAATAGGTATAACATGGATTTGTCCATCTGGAAAAGTCTATAACTGAACACTGAAATAGTTGTAAGATTGTTTTTCCTTGAAGTACCTGCTACCTGTTACAAAAGACCACTCATTGTTAAATAAGATATTTATGGTTGTTTTCAGTTCTTAGAGTGGAATCCTAAAATGAAAATAATGAAGAAATCACTGAACAATAATATATTTCTATTTCTTTTTGTTTGTTTAGAATATGCCACTCTCCAGAATGTGATAAAGGGTCTAAGACAAACAATTGAAAATCAGTGTAACCTGAGAGGTAAAAAAACAAACAAACAAAATCCTGTAAAGTACATTGCATTATATTTTAGAACAAATATACATCTATTGCATAAACAAGGAGATTCCTAATTCACATGTAATCCTTTTGTTAGACCAATCTCTAACTGCCAATCAGAAAACACAACAAAATTAAATTAGAAACAAACCTGATATATCCTATCATTTCATATGTGCCTAAGCTTAAGTGTGTGATTCACAATAAAGGACTTTTCTTGCATTCCTACACGTACAAAAATGCTTTATTTTCAATGGGAGTTTTGCCTGAATGAGGATTTATATCCTGAATTTTTGGTTTGTTTTTTATTTCTTAGCAGCGCAAGAAATCTTGCAAGAAATCAAGGTAGTGTGAATCACCTTTTTTAAGTACTCTGCGATCCAGCAAAGCACTTAATCATATGCTTACACATGCATTAGTGCTTTACTGGGTCAAGGAAGCTTTAGGTCTTAGTTTGATAATGTTCTTAAAATGCAGCTACCATCCAGAAATACTTAATCTAGGTAGTTGTTATTATTAGATATTATTTTGAAATAAAATGATAAATATTGTGACAGACCCAGACCAGTGGGGTA